TAATATGGTTATCTTGCTTGATGCGATATTATAGGATTTCGGGAAGGGAGTTTTTGATTCTCCCAAATTCTCCCTAGAATGGAACAAATACATCGTTGAGATATGGGAATGAACGGTTTGGAACTGATCGGTAAAATAATTACTCACCCAATGGGAATTTTGACGAAATTTGGTATACTTAATAAATTTATAATTCATCAAATTCTCGAGATTCTTTCAAAGATTTTGCTCTAAATATATAAACATTGTGAATACGATTATGATATTTGAAGGTTTTGTATTTAACTGGTTTGCTTGAAAAATTTCCATGATTTAATATTTAAATGCAAAAAGTGACTGTTACTAAAGGTTAAAGCTTCCATGTTCCATTTGTTGTTGTGTTCAAGTACCATCTTCTGATTGAAAGCTTGTAGTGGTATATTTTGTGATAGATACATTTTCTTCTTCAGAATGTAACAATAATACGTATGGGGCTGGCTGTAAAAAACAATGTCACGACAGAAATTGTGAAGGGTCGCAATATTGTAATGCAAAAACAGGAGCATGTAAAAACGGTTGTAAGCCAGGATATACAGGTCAGGACTGTACAACAGGTAAGGTTATTCTCATGTAGGATATACAGGTCAGGACTGTACAACAGGTAAGGTTATCCTCGTGTAGCTTATACAGGTCAGGACTGTACAGCAGGTAACGTTATCCCCATGTAGGAGATACAGGTCAGGTTATCCTCATGTAGGATATACAGGTCAGAACTGTACAGCAGGTAAGGTTATTCTCATGCAGCTTATACAGGTCAGAACTGTACAACAGGTAAGGTTATTCTCATGTAGGATATACAGGTCAGGACTGTACAACAGGTAAGGTTATCCTCACGTAGCTTATACAGGTCAGAACTGTACAACAGGTAAGGTTATTCTCATGCAGGTTCCAGAGGTTATGACTGTACAACAGGTAAGGTTATCCTCGTGTAGCTTATACAGGTCAGGACTGTACAACAGGTAAGGTTATCCTCATGTAGGATATACAGGTCAGGACTGTACAACAGGTAAGGTTATTCTCCTGTAGGAGATACAGGTCAGGACTGTACAACAGGTAAGGTTATTCTCATGTAGGATATACAGGTCAGGACTGTACAGCAGATAAGATTATCCTCATGTAGCTTATACAGGTCAGGACTGTACAACAGGTAAGGTTATGTTCATGTAGGATATACAGGTCAGAACTGTACAGCAGGTAAGGTTATTCTCATGCAGCTTATACAGGTCAGGACTGTACAACAGGTAAGGTTATTCTCATGTAGGATACACAGGTCATGACTGTACAACAGGTAAGGTTATCCTCACGTAGCTTATACAGGTCAGGACTGTACAGCAGGTAAGGTTATCCTCATGTAGGATATACAGGTCAGGACTGTACAGCAGGTAAGGTTATCCTCATGTAGCTTATACAGGTCAGGACTGTACAACAGATAAGGTTATCCTCATGTAGCTTATACAGGTCAGGACTGTACAGCAGGTAAGGTTATCCTCATGTAGGTTATACAGGTCAGGACTGTACAACAGGTAAGGTTATTCTCATGTAGGATATACAGGTCGGGACTGTACAACAGGTAAGGTTATTCTCACGTAGGATATACAGGTCATGACTGTACAACAGGTAAGGTTATCCTCACGTAGCTTATACAGGTCAGGACTGTACAGCAGGTAAGGTTATCCTCATGTAGGATATACAGGTCAGGACTGTACAGCAGGTAAGGTTATCCTCATGTAGCTTATACAGGTCAGGACTGTACAACAGGTAAGATTATCCTCATGTAGCTTATACAGGTCAGGACTGTACAGCAGGTAAGGTTATCCTCATGTAGGTTATACAGGTCAGGACTGTACAACAGGTAAGGTTATTCTCATGTAGGATATACAGGTCAGGACTGTACAACAGGTAAGGTTATTCTCATGTAGCTTATACAGGTCAGGACTGTACAACAGATAAGATTATCCTCATGCAGGTTATAGAGGCCGGTATGATTGGTTATGTACTGACAATCTCATAATTGTATCCAACTCAAATAAATAAGCTTCTACCCCCGCCCCCGCCCCCTTTTTATACGCAAGATCGAAGCTACAGTTTTCATAAATATGTGGTCGTATATTGTCGATGCCCCTGACCGTCGGTCCGTCCGTCAACATTTCTTGTGAGCACTATAGAGACTACAGTTTGTATCTGATTTTGATAAAACTTGGTGTGATGCTTTAGATAAGATCTCGGTCAAGTTCGAAATTGACAAATTTTCGATGAACGGTTTTTGAGATATTGCCCTTGACTTAGAACGCCTTGAAATTTGTTAAAAATTATTCGTGAGCAAGATCGAAGCTACAGTTTTCATCCGATTCTGGTGAAACTTGGTGTGATCATTGGAATTCATAATATCTCGGACAAGTTCTAACTTGACGCATTTTCTTTGAACGGTTTTTGAGTTATTGCCCTTGACTTTGTTATAACGCGTCGAAATTTGTTAAAATAGTTCGTGAGCAGGATTGAAGCTACAGTTTTCAACCGATTCTGATGAAACTTGGTGTGATCATTGGAATTAATAAGATCTCGGACAAGCACTAACTTGACGCATTTTTGATGAACGGATTTTGAGTTATTACCCTTGACTTTGTTAAAACGCGTCGAAATGTGTTAAAAATAGTTCGTGAGCAGGATTGAAGCTACAGTTCTCAACCGATTCTGATGAAACTTGGTGTGATCATTGGAATTCATAAGATCTCGGACAAATTCTAACTTAACGCATTTTCGATGAACGGTTTTTGAGTTATTGCCCTTGACTTTGTTAAAACGCGTCGAAATGTGTTAAAAATAGTTCGTGAGCAGGATTGAAGCTACAGTTCTCAACCGATTCTGATGAAACTTGGTGTGATTATTGGAATTCATAAGATCTCGGACAAATTCTAACTTAACGCATTTTTGATGAACGGATTTTGAGTTATTGCCCTTGACTTTGTTAAAAGCGCGTCGAAATTTGTTAAAAATAGTTCGTGAGCAGGATGAA